AATTCCAGATAGATATTCATAATTTAGCCTTAAATGCTTTGTCTGCAGTTTGTTTTTTCTTGTTAATGTGGAAGAAACTCTTGAGTTGTTTTATATTTTGGAGATAACCAATCTTACCATTTCGTGATTTACTCTTGGTATAATCCAGTGGAAGTCTTGTCTGGTTGTAAAATCATTTCAACCTTTTTGGTTAACTATTGCAGTGGTGAAGTTTGTCAAAAAGATAGATGCTGAAATATCTGATTAAATCATTGTAGAACTTTGGATAAATTAAGAATATCTATCTGGAATTGTGTCAACAGATATGTGAAAAATTTCCATTATACTTACCAGAGATAATATAGCTATGCTAATTATCGAATTTATTTTTAGGTGCAGATTGGAATTTTATTATGTTTAGTTTTGAAGGTATTTTTTGTACAAGCAATATAAAATAGGTAATTAGTATAGTTGTGGGATTATTGAAAGACAGAGTAATCGCATGTGATAAACATGAAAACAAGAGGAGTCACGTACAAGAAAAAATCACCAAAAAGTAGTGGGTAGATAGCTTCATTAAGAATAGTAAGGATTTTTTTGACCTGCCCTGCTTATGCAAGATGTCATTCGGAATTATCACTCCGAGGTGTGCAATTCCATTTCGGATATATGCTAATTTTGTCTCATTTTTACCTGACTTTACCTGTAATCGATGTTCCTTTCTAGCCTCAAGGCCCTTGTGTAAAATATCCTAAAAGAAACGGGTGACATCGTCCAATATGCAGAAAATCCCAAGTCACTTCTATGCTCAGAATGTAATAAAAAAATTCTATCTATTTCATATGAATCGTTACTGTTCTCAGTGGCTGTGGGTATATCTTTCACAAAATGTGTATCGAGAAAAAAATTCTGTATACAACACCAAGTATACATGTATGTCCCTTCCCTAAGTGTGGAAAAAATGTCAAGCTTATTGATGAAGCCCAACGATGAGACTATATCTTCTGAAATAAGTGATACTTCGAATCTGACTGATGAATTTACCCGTAATGTTGAATTTAGTTCTCAAAAAAATTCATCCCAGGACCAAGACGTGAATATGGAAGGAAATGAAGGGGGCAAGGCATCGAGTTGAAATTCCGACCAACCTATCGCAAAAGCGTGCTGGTGAATCTACCAACAAATCATCCAGTAAGAAACAGAAGACAGTCAGTAAGAAAGTGAATCATCTATGTTGAAAAAATTTATATGGAATTATCAACTGATGACGCGAGTAATAGTGAGGTTTTGAAAGATTGACCAAGCCGAATCCAGAAATGAACATGCTACACGGAATGTTATTATCCCTTATTACGATTTTGGTGAAGCTTTATATAATCGATACAAGAAGCTGAAAAAAATTCATGGTAAAGAGGGAGCCCGTGCTTTGGTTAAAGATGGGGTTAGAAACGAAATCCCAGAAAGAAAATTTACTGATGAAGATCTCGCAAGATATACAAGCGTTCAATACAATCGGTGAGGAAAAAATAGGACGAGTTAGATCTTTCTCCCCATTATCTATCTTAAATTTAACTCTAAACGATATCGATCATGTAATTACTGGAATTTTGAAAGCGAAATAATGTACTGCGCCCTTGTGACAAGCTTGTCCTAGCGATTCATGTAAAAAATAAACGGAATTAAAGTTAGATATAACTTTCAGAAAAAAAACTCGCGTGGCCTTTAAAGAAATACCTGCTTCCTAAATCTCCGATTTCATGTCTTAATTTTCATCTGAAAATTTAAGAAAACAAAATAATAAGCAAATGATTGTAAAATTTATAATATATCACCTCAACTTCGAAATCACTTCACTCAGCGTTAAACGAACTTTTTAATCCACAATTTCTTTGCTCCGGTCCCAGATAATATCAATTATTTCTGACTATTTCTTACACTGTAAAAAAGAATAGTAAAGTCAGTAAGAACTTTAGGAAATTCGCAGTACTATTTTTTGTGCATATCTGCAAGCAGGATGTACACGCGAAAGAATCACATAGTGAGTGAAGCCATCGCGCTTCTCTTCCCCATCAGGTTAGAAAGCACCCAACCTTCCTCGAAAGCACCGAGGGGCGTAAGTTAAAAGTTGACAAACGACGCTCCTTCATTCACAACAAACTAACCTTTAATAATTTATGTAACAACAACTCTTTTTCTGACACCCTTTGATCAGATGATTTAGAGAGAATTTTCAACTCGGTAGCTAACGAAGTATGGACCCGATCTTGCCTTGATGAAGAGTTGGATTTTGTTGGATCCAAAATATATCAAACGACTCAACATACCAATCCTGAAGGCTGGTATTTAGCCAGTATTCTGCAAATCGGAAGTTACAAAGCAGTCTAGGATATTTTGCGTGCTATGGTCGACGTAAAAAGGGAACTCACCTTTATAATAAAGATTTGGCGGAAGGATAATCGTATCCTGTGGTGCGTTAAGCTCCGACATTTAAAGAATAAATGCGTCGAAAAAGAGTTTTTGATTCTATAAATTTTACGTGTAATGGTTTATATAAGAAATCGATTGCCACATACGCGTCAAATAAACAACCATTCAAATAACCCGATCTGTTTTTCTAATATGTACTGCACCAGTGACATCATCGAGATGTGCATTATCAATTTTGATTAGGTAATCGTTGTATAATACGTATGTTACTAATGGTTCATCAGATAGTGTTGCTTTTTCTCTTTGTTTCTTAATAAATATCCGAATCTTTTTTCCTATATCAATATGTTACAGAAAGAACTATCAAGAAATTGTTACATAGTGCTTGTTACAATAAAAGACGTAAACTTCATAAGAAACAAAAATCAATATCAATAAAGCAGAATGAATATACACTTTCCTTAATACAAACTTAACAAACCTTGACAAAAAACTTCTAATTCTTTAAAAAACAAAAATTATTTGCAATAGTAATAAATATATAGATTACTTGTTAATCTATAAATAGAATTTTTGTATAAATATCAAAAAATTAAAATTAAAAACTTGACAAATTAAAATTTTACTTTGATACAGAATTAAAAATATTTTATTAAATTGAATTATGACTTTAAACAATAAACAATAATATTTAATATAAAATATTATTAGTATTGAAAATAATGAATTTAATAATAATTTTGATATAAAAATTAATAAATAATATATCAAAACAAAGCTTAGAATCTAAAGATTGTAATAATATAAATTTTATATAAAAATGTTTTTTAAAATTTTTTGAAATTAAATTTTGAAATTAAATTTTTTGAGTATTAAAAATTAATTACAAATAAAAATTTTATTCAAATTTTATCATTCTATAAATTTTAATTTCATAAATTTAAAAATTTTTTAATTTAAAATCTAGATTTTTTTTTTTAAAAAAAAAATTTTTTTTAATAATTTTTAATTTGTAAATTTTTGAATTTTTGAATTTTAAAGTTTTTTTTTTTATAATATCAAAAATAAAAAAAAAAATTCTATAAATTTATAAATTTAAATAAAATATATTTAAAAATTAGTTAATAATAAAAGTAATATTATAACTTTTTAATAAAAAAATTTTAAAAAGTTTTATTACACATTATATATATATTCAAAAAATTAAATATATATATTACAAAAAAATTTGACAAGTATATACATATTTTAATAAAATAATAATTTTTAACAAAATAAAGTTCTTAAAAAAAGTGTATCAATTATATGTTAAATAAACCATATGTTGATTTATAACTAAAAATCAAACTATATAAATTTGATTAATTAGCTGAATTATTTATTTTTATGATAAATGATTGGTAAGTGACATTATGTTAAATAAATCAATTTTGACTAATGAAATGTTTTAAATTATAAAAAAGTTTTGTAAAGAGTTTTTATTTGATCTTATATTTTTTACAAAAATGTTTTTAATAGTAAATAACATTTGAATTATGTCCTTATCTTTAATTTAGAAACCCATTTTTAATATTAAGTATAAGTAATTGGTGTGGATTAATTTAAATGAATTACAAATTACTCAATAAAAACCATGTGTATGGCATCTTTTATCCTTTTATAAAAAAAAGAAGTAAAATTATACATACAATATATAAAATCTATAGGTTTATAATATAATAATAATAATCTATAGATTATTAAAGTGAAATTTTTTTTTTGAAATTTCACCAAGACTTGTTATTTTGAACCGACCGCATAAACTTTAAAAAGTTTATAGGATAACCTTAAGAAAATTATTTATCATTAAATAAAAGAAGCGTAATCATGGTATTATAAAAATCCTTGATATATAAATTATAAATTTAGCATTCGTGATAATGTTTTCTAGTTAACAACAGTATTCTTTTTTATTTTATTTAAAAATTAATTCACAAGACAAATAAATCAATTGTTTACATCAGATATCTTCTTGAATGTGAGGTTGTTTTAATATTTTGTTTCTATTATATTGATATCAAAAAGCAACCATTAATTTACTTATAATAAATATAATTAAGACTTTTGCGCAGATTATATTAATTTTTTTTTACACCTTGATTTACATATGACAACTTTATAGTTTGCATGTTTTTTAATACATGTACTGTATATACTGTAATTCTTATGTTATGATTATTTGTAAATATCTTATTGCATGAATTTTAAGAAATAAATTCACCGGATTATTTTTCATGCGGTTCTTTCTTATAAATTAAAGTTAACGATATAATATATGAGGACACGTACGGTTGGTAAACAATGCAATATTAATAATTAAATCTCTATTTGCTATTTATTTTACTGATTGTTATTTTTAATTA